CGGTATCAGCATCACTGTAAAATTATTAGTTCTATCATTTTTTGGAAAAAGTTCTGATTTGCTGAGTTGGAATTAATAAACCAGATTAAGTAAGACTGTGTTTCAGGCTTTGGAAAATCCCTTTCTGTAATAGGTGTAGCATAACTGATGCTGGTTTGCAAAAGAGGCTGTACCTGCATTCAGCCTTAACCGCAATATTTAGTACAACTAGTTCCTTGAACTCCATTATAATGTTGTACAGTCCCGATTTGATTTTCCAGTGCATTATTAGGAAAACTTTGGGTGCAGTTCTGGTTAGATTTTTGTTTTTCCTGGAGCCAGTCCGCAGCCTGTCTGCGGGCACCCGCTCCTGCAGCTGCTGGAGGTGCAGCCCTGGGTTGGGTGGCACGTGGGAGCTGGTGGCACTTTGGCAGGCTGTGCTAGCCAGCTTTTGACTCAGAAACTGCAGATCTTTGCAACAAAAGCGTTTCCTTTGAATTGAAGTGATGCATAACTGACTAAAATCCTACTGCTACTCTATTTTCCTATTTTTGGCTAGTCTGAGCAGTGTTGCTGCTGGTCTATTGATGTTTTTACCTGTTTCTGTCTTTCAGTTCTGTCAAGCTCAACAGAAGGAGATTATAATGAACATGCTGCATGAGTTGTATAACTACTTGTCAATACAAGCCGGTAAGTTCCAATTGTCATTATAAAGCACTTAAAAGCATTCAGCAAACTGCCTGTCCCAGCTGTCTGGACATTTATAACCTTACTTTGAAGAGAGGAGTTCATGGAACAGTGAGTTTCTCTTGAAGAGCTCTAGGAAAGTCAAGTAATAGGAAAATAAAAAAAAAAAAGATGAGTTTATTTTTAATCTGAATAGTGCTTGGCTAATGCACTGATACCACTGTGTTCTCCTGGAGTGGTCCTTATTTGCTCTTCATATATTGGGAATTGGAGGTACAAATATTCAGCTTTATGGTCCTACCTGCATCTTGAAACCGTCTTCAAGACAACTTGGAGTCCGTGAGCGTTAACTGATGTACTCTTACAAATGGAGTTGGAATGACTTCAGCAATTGCTGTCTCTGCTAAAACGTGGTCGCTGCTTACACGAGTGCCTCTCTCCTTGTCATTGCTAGGCGTAGCAGGCTGGCTTAGCTCAGGAGCTAGCTGAACTCTTGCCATTTTCTACTACATATCTGGAAATCCAATCTATAACTAGTATTTCGTGATGGAATGGGCTATTAGAAGTTCAGTGGGTATATTTTTATTTTTCAGTAACCTACATGGTAACGTTCATCATTAAAAATGCTTGCGTTCCATATTCTAGAGGATTTCAGATATTAAGAAGGCTGGGTCTTCTAGGCACTGGAATTTTACTGAATTTCTAAACCTTTTCAAATCAAGACTTCAGCACCTGTGAAATTTCCATCAGTTTTACATAGTCTCTTAACACATTTGTTTAGTCATCTTTGCGAAACAAGATTTAGAAGCCTGAGTTTGACTGGTGCCTGGGTAGAAGATAGAGCTGGGAAATAGGCTGCTCTGTAGCATTTTTGAATGCTGAACCTTAACTCCAGCATTACTGTCTTTGATGCCTCATGGAAGTTACCTCTGCAGGCCGTTAAGTCAGAGAGGTAGTTATGTCCTTGGTCGGGGAAGAAATATTTCCTCTCCCGCTCCCCCGGATCGCACGTCGAGTGGCTGGCGCACTGAGGCGTGAGGCTTGATTGCCTTTATCCAACCTATATACAGTGCTTGAGCATTTTATTAATAGTCAAAAGATTATCTGCCTACAATATAAATCTCACCTTGTAGTTGTTTTGCCCAGAGCTGGAGCTCATTTTAAAGGATAGCATTTCCAGACGGTTAAGTGTATTTCTGAACTGTTAGAGGGCTTTTTTCTAAAACAATTTTTATCTGTTTGACTTTCTTACCAGGTAATTTTGAGTGTGGAAATCCTGAGAATCTAAAAAGCAAATGCATTTGGATTAGTGAAGCAAGGGATCACGTGATGGTGAGTAGGCTTTGAACACCTATTGTTATAGCATAGTGCTCAGCCTCTTATAAGGCAATAAATAATAGATACTGAAGCAATTCACCATCTGTTTTACTTCCTCATCCTGTTTTGATTTTTTTTTCTCCCCCATATCTCTTGCTTCCCCTTTGGGCAGTTCTGTTCTCAGCAGTTCTTTTGAAAATAATCTTCTCCTACATCTCTGATTCAGCCCCTATAAATCTAACTTAATGGTTTGTTGTTTCACTGTAGTCATCAGTCTTCTGAAACCAGAAATTTCCCTGGTTTGAGGGCTGGGCAGAAGAAAGATTTTTCCATACTTCAAAGTGTCAGAAGACAGACTGCTTTGATCTAACATTCTATTTCTTTCATGGTAAACTGTCAGTAAGATTATGTTGTATTTAGTGGTTAGTCTTAGCAATCCAGGGACAGTGTTATTTTACAGCATGCTTCATGCATCATCTACCATAGTCATAAGATTTTGGTCCAGACCGACCTCCAGATTTAGTTTCTCCTTCTTCCACTTTGCAGGATTATGATAAGAGTTAACCTAGGGACTGACTACATACGATGAATTCTCCCACTAATGTAATGAAATAATGTTATTGCTGTATTTTAAATGAATGAAGAACTAATCCTGTGGATTTTTCCATGCAGAATGTAACTGCTAGTTCACATAAGAAGTTTGAGGCTGCCCTGGAATGGATACTGAAGAGTAGCAAGGATTTAGGAATAAGGTAAGTGAAAGCCTGCTGTGCCTATTGTGCCAGTTGTGCTCATCTGTGTTCGTTGGGGTGATGTAATTTGTCATCCTGTGTGTGCTCGAAAAACTATGATACCTCCCTTAATAGATTTCCTAAGATAATCTGGGGTAGCTTTGTCAGTACTGGCTGGGCAAACTTGCAAATAGAAAATAAGGTCCTGCAGCAAAAATTGGCAACTGAGGGTATTCCTGAGGGCATGTGTCCCAACATTTGCCCTAGGGGACATTTTGTTCACAGAAGGACTGTCTTTCAGATGAAGCATCAATCTGAAGTCCTGGCTGCTTGTGACTGACAACTGTTGTGTCGTGTTTACGGCAAGGTTTAGCACTGCTAGTCCTGGTGTCCTGCCCATGATCAGGATCTGTATTTTAAACCTTCACACCTACCCAAACGCTTCTCTCTAGATATCTTTTCTACTCAGTACTGCTGTTGGCCAAAGAACCCAACTCTACACTGCACTGAACCATAGTCTAAGGAGTTGGATTTGATGGATAGTATTCTGGGATCCTTTGGGACCAATCTCTGTGAGGAATAGAGGGAAATAGTCGTTGCATTATATCTTTTCTGTACTATCAGTTGTTTTTCTGACAGAAAATAGAATACATATTAAAATGAATGGAAAGACTCCCACTGACTGTAGGGTGTTGGGCAGTCACAGGAAGGGCTTTTCTTGGCTACTGGTCACTTCAGCCCCCAAGAAATGACAGCAATAATAGCTTCATCAAGTGTATAGTATAACATTGAGGTCACTGCTTAATGAAAGGCTTATCCAGAGTCTGCAGACTCTGGATATCTCCTTTTGGGAAGCGCGTGCTGCTTCCACTCTGTGTTAACAAAATCAAGCATTTGTTTGCATTCTAACATTGCTAATTGTCTCTGATTAAATGACTTGTAACAACAGTAATGCTAGGCTTTGTGGTATAGCTTTCAATAATTCCTAGTGCTTTATTTTCCCTTAATGTCTGTAGCAGTTACTGTGATTCAATGGTCAGAGAGTGTCTACTGCTTTGGCTCTTGGTGTGTGGTAAATTCCCAGGACAGGGCGCCGTTTCCTTGGTGGCAAGCTTGGATTTGTGGGTGGGTTGAGATTCTGAGTTTTCAAATGCATATTTTTTCTGCAAGAGCACTGTTGAAGTCGAGAGGCGTGTGACAAAACATAATGCCTTCTTTATTTTCATAATTAGCAATTCTGCCAGCTTTTTGCCAAATGGCTCCGCTTCCAAGGTGCTTGTGTGTCGTGCAGAACGCGTGTTGAGCATGCAGGTGGCATTTGAGCAAACAGCACATGAGATTATTTTCCTAGGTGCTAGTCGGAGAGGCAGAGCAGAAATGAGCTCTGCACTGGGTGATTCTGTTGCACGTTTTAAACATCTTCCTGGAATCTGGATTGTAAATAAGACAAGGAGGTGGGAAACAATCGGGTGTCTCTCTGGTTACTGTAGAATGCAGTAACCAAATGCAGGCGGCCAGCAGTTAGATCCCGTACTAGCAAACTGAAACAGTGTCTTTGTCTAACAGTCTATTCATTGCAACCCAGAAGGAATTAGCAGTTTTTTTTAAAAAAAAAAAAATCCCTTTTAGCCCAATTCCTCCGAATCCAATGGGGCTTGGCTTGGATTACTGATGCCTGTTGGCTTAGGGTGTTTAATAAGGAAACCACATCCGTGTGGATGTGCAGAAAGCAGCGAGCTCGAAGCGTGTCGGCTGGCGCAGCAGGTGTGTGCAAGCGATTCTGCAGGAGGAGCTGCATCAATTTTGCCACAAATGCTTGCCCAGGCTGTGTCTGTTTGCTGCTGCAGATACAGCTGATGTGTTTTCCCTTCTCTGGCTAAACTGTTTGTGCTCATCCACACTGAGGAAAACAGTGCAACCTCCACGGACGTGTGCAGTCTCCCTCAACTGCTCTCTGCAATTGTTGAGTGACTCAGTAAACATTTCCATTTCTGTATGCTGGGAGGTGGGAATCCAATTTAAAGTTTAATCTTCTGCACACTGAGCGGTGCTGCCAGAGAGTCTGCAGAGGGAGACTTCAGTTTACCAGTGGGAGTTCCAGTCCTGATGCCTTTTCTAAAGCCATATCCATTCCTTGCTAAGCAGTTGGTTCCAAAATATTCTGGAAAGAGGAGCTGCAAGGATGTAGTGTATTTCCTATGCAGCGTACTGAACAAGTTACTGCCTCTGCAGCCTGTTTACTTTCCCTCTCTTGATTAAAGTCTGCAGTTGAAGTGCCTGTGTCTTTTAGTGAAGAATTTCTGCCTTTTCCCACCAGGCTGAGAGGCAGGGACCCTTCGGAGGCGGTGGAGGCGGTGCAGGAGCTGGTGTGTCTGGAGTCAGCCCACCCGCAGATGGGGCTGGGCTGCCGGTTCCGCCGCGCCGTGGTCACTGCCATCATGAACCTTTTCCTGTTCTTCTGGGGTAAGTCCTTAGTGTTAGCAACCAGCCTCTGCCCTCTCCAGTGCAGATGAACACGCATACATGCACATTCTCCCAACCATATGAAATTATTAGTAGAGGTGAAATAAATCTGCTGGTGAGTTAATTTCTAATTAACCTTTGCTCTGGTAGCAGAGAAAGACCTGTAGACCCACTCTTGTGCTATGAGTGCTTAACACTTATTTTAAATCAGCAAGTTGATTAGCCTTCTGAGTATTCCTCAAGCACCCACTAGTGTGGTCTGCAAAATGAGTATTTTAGCCTGCCTAGGAGATTTGGTTTCTCTTTTTTTCTTTTTTTCTTGCACTAAGCTACTAAGTCTTCTGGTCTCTTTGGTAATGACCTGGAGCTTTTCAGTGTTATGGACTGTACTGCAAAAGTCTGTCATGCCCCAGTTGAGACAGAGGCCTTGCTGAGATAGGTGGTAATGAGAGATGAGTGTTGCCCGGAAGAGTTTATAATCCGGCCAGGCGAGGTGGGAGGGGAAGGAGACAGTTGTTTTTATTGCAGAGGCCGAGTTATTAGTGTTAACTGATGTCGTAATTGGGACCTTTGTCAAGGCCGAATTCTGGGCTGGAGCCCTGGACTTTATTTCCTTATGAAGCACCTATTTTCAGAGCAGCAGAGCTTGACAGTTTTCCTAAGTGGTTATTGTGGGGGAGGCCTCTAGCAAAGAGGTGGCTCTGGGATTTAGAGAATTAGAGCCTTGTGGTTGTCCTGAGGTTTCTGGCGAGGAGGGGAAAAAGCCCATGATGAGGCCCTTTCCACACACACACGTGCTCTTCTGCTGCAGACACTATCAGTGCTGAGGCTTTTGTGGGGAGCAGCCACCACGAGGAGTCTCAAGTGAATTGTTTCAGATTCACTCCTGTTTTGGATTCAGTCCCAAGCAGGCCCTGGGTGTCAGGGAGTGGAAGCTGCCTCAGAAAGGAGGCAGTGTCAGATACAAAACAGGTTAGCATCCAGCAGGAGAATATGTGGCAGCACTTGACGTTTGTTTTCATTCTTCCCTTAGGTCTGCTGACTCTTTGGGGGATCCTCATCTTCTTTAAGTATCGCTGGCGGAAGATGGCAGAAGAGGAACAAGCCATGTACGAGATGGTGAAGAAGATCATAGGTAGCCCGCGGTCACTCTAAGCCGAGCAGCACGTTCTCCTGTCTGCCCTGCTGAGGTGTCTCACTGTGCTTCTGCCCCCACAGCTGTTGTCCAGGACCACTATAAGGAATGGGAGCGGAATATGGAGCGTTACCCCTACGTGGGCATCCTGCACGTGCGGGACGGCCTCATCCCTCCGCAGAGCAGGTGAGCCGAGCGCTGGTTTTGCAGGAGGGCTCTTGCCATGATGTGACTCGGCCCAGAGCCGCAGTCGGTGGGTGACAGAGCATGTGCGGGCCACGGATGGGAAGCTGGAGAGCAAGAAGAATCTGTCTGGCCTTTCAGTTTATAAAGGATTCTGACATAACTCAGGCTGTGTCTTAACCTGCTGCAGATGAATGTGACAGCGCTGGCGCTGGTCCCTCGTGCAGGCACGCAGGTGTATTGTCATTGCTGTGTCACACAGTAATTGCATTTTGCTTTGCCTGGACATGGAGTTACCTTGCTTTCCCTCCATCTGATCCGAGCTGGATGCTGTCCTCTTTCTCAGCTGTCCTACCGTGTTCTCCAGGCAGCTGCTGTGCTTTTCAGAATGAACCTTTCCATGAGTGGAATAGGGGATCGCAAGGCTCTTCTGAAGTGGCTGTGTGTTGTCTGCCTGGAAAATTACCAGTTTGAATTGGGCAGCTTTGAAAAGGAGATGCAGTGAGATGGCTGTTCCTGTGCTTTTTCTGGAAGGAAGTGTGGTCCAAATAGGTGCTCCACAGCTGATGGAGCAGAGGGTAGGAGCCTGGTTCTTGATGCTTCTGTACCATCTGCCTCATCTTTGTGGACTCATTTCTTGCATTTGGAGCAATTTGCAGTTTGTGAACTGGATCTCTTCCCAACATGAATCAGATGGAAATTGAGGTCAGGTGCCAATCTCTGCCAGAGGGTCTCTCACCTTTGCCACTAGCAGAACTTGTGTTTTCATGTCCTGGTCTGAAACCAGCTCCAAGCCAGAATTTTGCTTTAATCTCTTTTGTCTGCACAGGGAGCAGGAAGAGGAGAGCAGTAGCTTGGTCACCATCCACAATTGCTGTAAGATGGAAGGCACAATGGGGATGTGATTGTATTTTTTGTTGTTTCTTCTAGGAAAAAAATGAAGCGGGTCTGGGACAGAGCTGTGGACTTTCTGGCTTCGAATGAGTCGAGGATCCAGACCGAGTCCCACAGGGTAGCAGGAGAGGATATGCTGGTGTGGAGATGGACTCAACCTTCTTACCTCTCGGACTCAGAACACTAAAGAGGAGCAGAGGCCGAGCTGTTGATGTGGAGCTTTGCAGAGGGACACCTTTCTGGCGGTGGGAAAGAACAGGTCAAGATCCTCATCTCCTTGGGCTGGGGATTGGTCACATATTTGCTCTTCTCTCAGAAAATCTACATACACACAAACACACACACACAAAAATATCAGAGCAATAATCTTGTCTGGTAAGGAAGAATGGCCTTGAGCTGATGGGAAGCTCAAATTGTACCAAAGTCAGCGTTCCAGCAGGTATCTATCTGGCCTCCCCAGGCAAGCAAACAGAGAACAACTTTCTGTAAAGCAAAAAGATGCCTAAAATACCCAATAGCGAGGGGCTCGGGGCCTTCTGACAAAGGTCGTCTCTTAAAATTTGACCTCAGTTCTGCAAAGGCCAACCGGTGGCAAAGTCCATCAGGGAATGTTTTTGTAAAAGACTGACATTTCGCATGGAAGCTTTTGGGTGGCAGCTAAGATGCATTTTAGCAGCGCAAAGACCGTGCCAAAAGCGCTTAACGGATTCCGAACTAGGAAAATGTTTGTCTGCTTCCTCCCCTAAAAATGGAGGGAGGAAAAAATTGGGGAAGGTGTTTGCAGAGGAGGGGCAGTGTGATGTGCCTTGGGTGGCTGGGCTGGCTGGTGGGGAGGAAGCTCTGTGACCCTGAGGACACTAAGTCTGTGATCCCTGCGCCCAGCTGTGGGAGGAGGGCAGCTGTGGGGAGCAGTGGCAGGTCCAGGAAGGCAGGGAGAGCTTTTTCCTTGGCTGCAGCCCAAGGGGCTGCTTCAGGAGTCACTCACGGGCCGCGCTGGGAAGGCCGTCAGGGTTGAATGTACGTGTTTACCCCCGGCAGCTGCAATGTGTGCGCTGACACCGTGCGTAGAGCGTCCGCCCGGGGTCCGTTTGCCAGGTTGATTTTCCTGCAGCCTCACAACGGGCCCATGGAGCGGTGATCAATCTTCCGTTCCTGCTGCAGGCGCTGTATTTTGTGTCTATAATCATTTGGTTACTTAAGTTTGTTTATGTCCAGCAAAGGAGTGTTTGTTTCAAAGAGAACAGCACTGTGGTGCGGCAGCTTCGGTGCTGCCCCCGCTCCGCGCTTGTCCCTGTCCCTGCTGCTGCCCTGGGGCTCGTGGCCACCGGCGTCCCCGCGAGCCGGCCCCGCTGCAGGGGGCCTGCAGGGTGCTCATCTCTAGCCCCGTATGTTCGTTTTGGTCGCAAAAGTAGGGTGTTTGGACAAAAAAGGAAACTCAGCCCCTGCCTGCGAGACAATAACCAGCTTCTTCCACTGTTTTTAAAATAGGGGATAAAATGAAGGCAGCTTTGATTCTTCTGGAATGTTGTGACAGGATCTTCGGTGCTGTGGTAGGAAGTCTTGCAAACACCAGTGCCTGCAGTCCTAGGCCTTTTTAAAATGCTTATGGGGTTTGGGTTGACTCTTTTTTTAACCGTCCAGGTGTGGGGTGCAAAGTGAGGCGTTGCAATCATTTTGTATTAAACTTGTTTTTGTAGAATAAATCTCACTGGCTTGGTGCTATTTATTATACGCTCAATTTAGCTCTGTACATCGATATATAAAATAAATTTATTATAAATGATTGTCACCTTTATTTGCAGTGAGAAGGCACAGGTTGTGCTCAGTGTTTTGCTCGTGCAGTTCCAATGGGTCCTGCTCCAGGGAGCTCAGCTTCTAGGAATAAGAGGAGAGGGAACACAGGGATTACCCAAGCACGTGGCTCCGTGCGGTGCTCGGAGCTGTCCCGTGTGTTCGGCTGCAGATTGGATTTTGTTTTGGGACTAGCGTGTGTCGAGCTGGAGGGTGTGTGACAGGCAGCTCTCATCTGGCTGTGTTTTGGTGACACTGACAGCCTCGAGGCTTGTGGTTTTATAAAGGGGAGGGACCCACACGTGGGCAGGGGCGGCGGGTGCCCCCAGCTCTGTGTGGGCTGGACCTGCTCTTCTCAGGCCCCCATGTGTCCTTGGGCACGGTGCTAGGCGAGGGTGTAAAAGCAAGGGTGGAACGGCTGCTCCATCCTCTCCGTGTTCCCCGGCTGTCTCGGGTCATGGGACGCATCGTTCCCCTCCTGGTGCCTCAAGGGTTAAGAGGGCTCAGACAAAGCCCTGAACAAGCGCTGCAAAGAGGGGGTTTGTCGAGAGCAGAGAGTCAAGTCCTGGACTGTTCCAGGACCCGGAGTTCTCAGGGTGGGCAGCAGCCAGGCCCGGCCTTGGGCTGCTCCTGCTTCCTGTCCCTTCCCTGAGTGACAGTGACTCACGGCAGGCGCTGCTGCGATTTTTAGTCTTCTCATGGAGCAGCGACGGGAGGCTGAATCATCGTTGTGTAACTTTGTGGACACAGTTGACTCACTCGTGTTTGGTGGAGAAATGTTGCATTCGCCTCCTAAGGTAGGTCTGGGTTACCAAGGAGCGGGGTGTCCACGAGGGCCATCAGCGTCACAGCCTGACGGAAGGTGGTGGGGACGTGGCCACCTCCCCTCCGGTGAGTCCTTGTGGAATTTGGGGACAAAAGCAAGGGCAAGGCCTATGTCTCTCCTCTGAACCTGCCTTCCTGGGTAGAGCCTTCTACCTGTCGAGGTTGCCAAGTTACAGCTGAAAATACTCAGGGTTAGGAGCTGGTCTCAGGTTTGGTGCAGCCACACGTGAACCAGGTCGCCGAGGAGGCTTCTCTGCGGGTCCTCCCCGTGTGCCGCCTTCTGCTGCTGCCCAGGGAGCAGAGCACACGGCTCCAGGCCACCTCGCTCCTCATCGCTCCGTGGAAGTTGTCCTGATCTTCTCCATAGACAAGCGGATTCCTGGAGCCCCAGGCCTGTTCCCAGAGGGGATGAGGTGGGTTCTTGATGTCCCTTCCCGCTCTGCTCACAACTTAGATCAACTCCCCGGGGTTTGCTAACGCCCCCCCATCCCGCTTTCTTGTAAAGCCTTAGGAGGCCATAAATAAACTCTCAAAGGGTGGGCTGGTAAAGCCCTCGCATCCCCTTGCTGTCAGGAGGAAAAATATGTACCAACAAGGCATCTAAAATAAAATTTGCCCTTTATCTTTTTATTTCCTGCTTCCATTTAAAGGCTTTCATATTAAATGTTTTGTCTCCTGCTGACATGACAGCTGATGCCGTGCTTATTTATGGGAGGCAGAGGCAGGGCGCCGTGCCAGCGCCGCCGCACGGATCAGCGGGAACGCGGGAGGAGCAGGGCCCGCGGGAGCCTCCCCGTGCCCGGGCCCAGTCGGAGCCACCGGGACCGGATCAGCCCCAGCCTGGCCCGTGTGGCCGCCGGCAGCTCCTGCGCAGGGGCTGTGGCCACGGGAGGTCCCCGTGGCGCCCCGGGCTGCTCACG